GCACAACTTGGAAGAAACTACTATCTACTAGCTGTAAACGTGCCGAGGATCCTATGATCATTTACATGTGGTTTGAAAATCTAGGGCTTTCTTTTCCTTCCTTGAATGGATGTGACCAACAGTCTGCAAACCTACTTCAAAGAAAACAGTTAAATGATAAAACCAAGAAGTTCCTTAAGGAAAAAAAGAGACTGTCTAACCTTGATCTGTGACACCCTGAGATCTACTTTACTCAAGGAAATGAAGATCTTTTGTTGTTGTTATTAATTTAGCAAACCAATCCTTCGACATGGAAGATCTCATCTTAGATTGATATACCATCAAAATGAAAGTTTCCTAGATATTTTTCCTTCTCAAACTTTGCTTGTTGCACACAAGAATGAGTTAAGAAAGTGAAGATGTCACATGTAAGTGGATGAGCAGGTTCAAAGGGAGTAATGTGTGGGGCCCTGCTCATGCAAAGGCTGACACAGTAGAAGCAAGAAAACCCCAGCTGGGCACAGGTGCTCAACGCCAGAGGCTGGCAGGGTAGGGTTTACAGAAGGCTCCCACATACAAAATTTCTTTTGTCTTTACTTGGGGAGAAGTTAAAAATATTATTTTCTCTGTCCGTTTTTTTTCAACTCTACTGATGTTGATGGGAAAGCAATACTAACTTAAAAAAAAAAAAAAGGAAGCTCTTTCACCAGATTGAGTTTCTGGGAATAATGTACTTCCAGGTTTTATATTTGATGCTCCAAATTTGTGCATGTAAGCAGTTCAACTTCAGATACAGTCACAAATGTAGTGTGCTCTCAGGTTTTAGCATTACAAGATCAGGTGTAGCCTGTGGAACTGCACATACAAATTAGTTTCTCTATGAAATGAAGCGCAACTGAATACAGAAAATTAAAGTGAATTTCTAATGGTACTCATCAGTCATCTAGCTAAAGATAAAACCGTGGACCTACAGCAGAATAAATACTAAACAGTAGTTATACATGCACAGCCTTGGAGAAACTGCTCACTTCAATGACTTCTGGCTGGAATGAATCTAACTTCAAAACACCTCAATGTTTCCTGGCTGTCTCTCATGTGAAAAACTGGGATAGATATTCTCTATGGCCTCTGTGCTTGCTTTCAAGATTGGGCCTGACCTGTTTTTCATGTTATTTAATAAGGTTCAATTCACTGAATCTATTAACTTCAGTGTATACGTATTTTTGCATAGAAAGAGTGGCAAAAATCTGTGCTTTGGCAAATGGGGCACTCTGTTCTAGTTCTTGTGGATTCTGCGGCAGTTGCTCATTTTAGAGATGCCTCCCCCATTCAGAGATGAGCATGAGTGTCTGCTCTCCCAACCTGAGTATTTGGGATAAATCTTGTTGATATGGCTAACCCACTTAAGAGTTTCCAACAAACAGGTGGCCAGAGTAGCAATTCAAGGCTCCCTCTCCAGACCTGCACCTGACACTAAGTGAGACCTCAACTTTAACCCTTGGGCATATTTGGGCAGAAGCTGGACAATGGGGCTTTTAGCTTATGTGGATCAAAAGATCAATGAAGCCTTGCTGATCTGGGATAGACTGGGAAGTGGAATTACAGATGTATATGCCAGCTAAGCATACTATGACTAAAATTACAGGGGAGGAAAGATGGAGGAGGGTGTATGTGGCTTTTTTTTCTTTTTCCCTGTTTTAACAATTTTATTACTTCCCCCTCAAAGCAAGGTGATGTGGTTTCTAAATTTCGAAACTTTCTCCCTTCTGGAAGGCAGCATGCTACTGGCTGGCTGCAAATCAGATCAGAAGACATTTCAATTTCTCCCATATGCTAGCTTGTTAAGGACATAGTAGTATCTTGGTGTTATAGTGTAGTAAAATTTATTCAAAACCAATAAATATTTGTTCTTGTATAGTATGGCTCAAATGTTGTGGTGGGCATGAAAATAAAAAACTGAGGATACAGTTTCTGCCTTCAAGGAGCTTCCAGTTTAGTGGGACTGACATATGCAAACACGTTGAATTCCACACTACAGGGAGGTGACCTCGAGGTGATGATTTGCAGACAGAGCATAATCCAATGGGTCAGAGGAGGTCCTTGCAGGGAGGAGGCAAGCCGTGAGCAGAGTCTTGAAGGCTGAGGAAGAGAGAGCCAGGCTAAAGGAAACCAAAGGGATCTGGGCCACTGGATACCATGAGAGTTCAGAAAGCCCAGAGAAATGATGCAGCGCATTGTGTTGGGGATACCGTTTGTAGTTCAGTGTTGGAGGAGGGTACGCAGGAAGACAGAGGATGAAGGGAGACAGGACTGCAGAAGTAGGCAAGGACTCCAGTCACCTTTGGTCTTTCATGTCATTCCAGGAAACCTCGATCTTTCCTCCTGAGAGGGGGTGGATTTTTAAGAATAAAGTGACATGGAGGTGTATATTTTATCTAAATCTCTCTGGCTACAGTCAGGGAGAATATCTTAGAGAAATAAGATGAGATAGGGCAGGGAATGAGGAGGCTGATGCAATAGCACAGATGAGAGATGATCCGAAATTAAACGAGGCAACGATAGGAGAAATAGAGGGAGAGAGTAGGTTCTAGAAATAATCAGGAAGAAAAATTTAGGGGCTTGAATGATTATTTGTATGAGAGATATAAAGGACAGAGGAGGTGGGGAAGTCCAGTCCTGAGTTCCTGGCTTGGGTGTCTGGGTAGATACGGGTTCTACTAACGGAGAGTAGGAAAACAGGAGGAAGAGCAGAATTAGATGGCAAGTGGGGGAAGGGGACTTGGGCAGTTTTGGAGAAGATGAATGTAAGGTAACTGAGGCCAGGCAGTCTGAAACTCAGGGGAACAGCCAGGATGAGAGATAAATGAGAGTCAGTGACTATGAATGTAAGTAGTAGTTAAAACCTTGAGAGTAGATAAAATTATCAGAATCCTGAGCCAGAAATGGAATTCAGGGCAACACTAACAATTAAGAGCAGACAGAAGAATCAAGTTTACAAAAGGGAAGGGATCAACACAAGATGGGAAGAAAACAGACAGGTGTAAAATAAGTCAAGGGAGGACACATTTAATGGATGAGTGAGGGACCAGCAGTCCCAAATACATACAGCAGACAGACACAGGATAAAAAGCGGGGAAATTCTCCAGACGGGGCAATCAAGAAGTAAGAGTTCCAGGTTGAACACCCAGCCCTCAGAACGTGATCTTACTTACAGACAGGGTCATCAAAGTTAAAGTGAGATCACAGGGGTCGGCAGGGTGGCTTCATCAAAGATGGTTAGGGTCTTCCTAAGAAAGGGAAATCTAAGCACAGAGACAGATGCACAAAGAGAGAAGGTGCTGTGAGGAGATACGGGGAGAAGACAGCCATCTACAAGCCAAGGAGAGAGGCCTGGAGCAGGGCCTTCCCTCATAGCTCTCAGAAGGAAGCAACCCTAATAACACCTTCATTTTGGACTTCTGACCTCCAGAACTCTGAGACGCTAAATTTCTGTTGTTTAAGCCACCTGGCTTGCGGTACTTTATTATGGCTGTTTGGCAAACTAACACTATAAGTTTACCAAGAGGAATTTCAACTGCACACCAGGGATGTCAGAATGGAGAAAGCTGAGGCATAAATGGGAAGTAAGGAAGTGAAGACTAAACTTCAAAAATGCTGACATGAGAAGGTGTTCTAAAGAACCGGCGTGCTTAGTTTAGTTTCTAGATTGCAAAGACTCGAATGATTTCATAAATGGCTATCTTCTTGAATATTTTTGGCATGAGTAGTTCATAGTTTTTGTTCCCTGAATCCTGGGATTTAAAAAACGTCTATTGTAGTTATGTTGACAAGTTTTGTTCCCAGTGTTACTTGTTTGCACATTTCCCCCCATTTCCTCACCAATTAGTCTTGCTATGTATCTGTGACTTCAGTAACTGAAAAGCAAATTTCTTGGCTTTGCTGAAAAACAAATGAACAAAAGCAAAAGACAGAGACTGAAATTACAGGAGAGGGAGGCAGTGATTGGCAGAGCAATGTCTCAATGGGATGGAATCTCAAGGACAGCTTCGAAGCCCTTCTCCTTGAGACTTTAAGAAAGGAGAGTGGTTAAGACTGGATGTGGGTGTAGGTCCTCTTGCTGGGAGAAATCAGGAAGCTGAAGGAGCTACTACCCGGTGATCTCAATTTTATTCATCAAGAAGGAATTGAAGTCATCCACTTGAGAGCTTTGAAGTGGGTTAGGTACCGGGCAAGTAGGCTGGGAAAATTGAGAACTGCTGCTAGGAAGGGTAAGAAAGCAGAGTGAGGACTGGCGGTGCTGAGCAACTGGTCAAGTTGAAGACATTTAATTGGTGGTGTCTATCTTTGGCTGCATGGATGTAACAGGACTGGTGTGGGTGACTTATGGCAGGATTAATCCAGGTCAGCATTTTGAACCTAGACATTAGTGTAACCAAGGGATGGGGTGCAAGAAAAAGGAGAATCGTACTTCAGAAATGATTTTGACACTCAAAAATGGAGGCCAGATTTAGTAGGAAAGAAACAGGTAAAGGAGGATGAACAAACCATGGAATAAGAACGATGACCTTGGAATGAAAAACCTATGAAGTATGGTGTTCTTGGTAATGATAACACAAAGTAAAACCATGGGAGAAAGTGGCTAAAATGGAGTGGACGTAAAAGCCATAGGAGCTGAGGTCCAAGCACTGCTGAGATAGAAGGGTACATTGCTCAACGGATATGATTGAATGGAGAGAGGTTTACTGAGAATGGCGATAAGACGGTTTTAGAAGCTGGCTGCTGCATCAAAAGAGGAGTGAACTGCACAACACCTCACAAGTCAGCTCCTTACCACTGCTTCCGTTAATATTTAAGCATCCAATCCCTAGGGAGAGGTGAATTTTTAAGTCTTATTTGTAAATCCAACAAAATGCATCTTAGCAAAATGGGGGGTTTTTATTCTATTGAAGAGTCAACATGTGCTAAAGTTATACATACATCATATAGAAGACTATTGATAAAGTTTTAGACAAACAACATACCAGAAACTCCTGGTGGTGTCTTAATAAATTTTCCATTAAAATGACCAATAACAGCTTCGCATTTTTCTGTTGATTCCATCCTATTTATACATAAAAATAGAATACATAAATATTTAAAGGTCTCTTATTTTTCATCTTGTTCTGTGCATGCATAAACAGTCTTATAGGTTTTTTGGATGCAAATGAAACCTAGTAAAAATGTGAATATGATAAAGGGTTTATTCTACCTTTTAGCTAAGTGTTGCTTTTGTACTTCTATAGCAAAATGATAACTGATAACCATAGAGTATATTCTGAAGCAAAGCAAGACTCCATTATGTCGAGAATGTTTAAGACCAAGTATATCAAATGAATAATTTTATTCTAATTGTTGTAAAATTGAAAAATCAATATACAATAGCTTTGTTAGCCGTAATACTGAATTGAAGAAACAACAGTTTAAAATACTAGTGCATTTTCTACTTGCTAAGATACTAGTCATTTTAAAATTGTCTTTGCCTTTACAATTCACAAAATGACACACTAAAAAGTCATGATAACAACTGGTGTCAGTGAGAGGGCGTGCCCTATATGTTTCTTAGATTTGTTTCAGGTTTAAAATTAAATTATTGAAATCAACTGTATACTTTCTTTGTTACCTTGCCTTTGGAAGAGTAAAGGCGAAGTAAAGTCGTACTAACTTTACAACTTATTCTATACACACAGGTGGCTGAAAGTATATGAGAAACATTGCTAGGGACTTAAATTATTTCAAGTTATTTTTCTTTAATGGAAGAAACACTGAATAATCTACTTAAAATGCTCTATACTCTTAGACTACTCAGAGAGTTACACCTTAGTTTTAAGAAACAGTGATAGTTTCAAAAAACAATGTAATTTAATTGAATTCTGTCTTTGGATACAGAAATGATACAACTCGATCTGTTTTCAGAACACCCACAGAGGTGACAAGATAATGCTGAGCTATTCAGTGACTCACTTGCATCATTTTAACCAGCGGAGCATGCACTGGAAATGCTGGCCTTTGTGACTTTCTACTAGTAGGATATTTTAGTTTTATGATAAAATTATCTGACCCGACAGAGCAATGAACTGAAATCCAGCTGAAGCAAGTATTAGCCCCTTCTTCATTATTTCGCAGTTAGGTAACAATAGAAAAGTTCCCTTCTTGTCTCAATTTTCTCATATATAAAACATGTAATAATAATACTTTGTTGATATATCACAGGTCTCTGGTAAAATGTGATTGTCATTTGTGTATAAAAGTAAACTCTCAGAAATTTTTCCTATAAAATCAAAGTCAGTACTTTAAAATATGTACACATTATTTGTTATTGCACAGTATTATAAGTTTCTAATTAATGCATCATATAAAAATCAGCTTTTATACATGGGCTTTTGGATTAGAATTCTGATAAAAATCATAGCTCTATTTATTATTTTTCCACCAGGAACCAAAATAACCACTACTCTGAAGTATTTTTTTTTTTTTTTCTGTGGAGGAAAGGATAAAAATTAAATGGAAGGAGTGAGGGCACTTTAGTTACACCTAGACTTTTTTTTGAGAGACAGGGTCTGTCACCAAGGCTAGAGTGCAGTGGCATCATCATGACTCACTGTATCCTCCAACTCCTGGGCTCAAGCAATCCTTCTGCCTCAGCTTCCCATTCAGCTGGGACTACAGGTATATGTCACCATTCCTGGCTAATTTTTTAACTTTTTGTAGAGACAGGGTCTTGCTATGTTGCCCAAGCTGGTCTCAAACTCTTGGGCTCAAGCGATCCTCTCACCTTGGCCCCCCTGCCCAAGTGTTGGGATTATAGGCGTGAGCCACTGCGTGTAGCCCCAGAAGATTTTCTTTCTTTCTTTCTTTTTTTGAGACTAAGTCTTGCTCTATTGCCCAGGCTGGAGTACAATGGTGTGATCTTGGCTCACTACAACCTCCATTCCCCAGGTTCAGGTGATTCTCATGCCTCAGCCTCCCAAGTAGCTGGGATTACAGGCACCTGCCACCACCACGTCCAGTTAATTTTTGTATTTTTAGTAGACAGGGTTTCGCCACATTGGCCAGGCTGGTTTTGAACTCCCGACCTCAAATAATCTGCCCACCTGGCCTCCCAAAGTGCTGGGATTACAGGCATGAGCCACCATGCCTGGCCTAGATTTAATTTCTTTAAAAAAAGATCTGAAACAGAAATTATAAAATGTTAGTATTTGTCAAATCTGTGTGGTGGTTACACAGGTATCATGTCCTTGTTTTACTTTTCTGAATATTTTAAGTATTTCATTTTAAAACCTAACTCATTTACTTTACTGATGCATTGAATTTCCATCTAATAAGAAAAAACAAACTGATTTATCTACGAAATTTAGCAGACTGCTATTTTTAAAAAGTTAGAAGCATCCTGATCTAAGGACCCACACATGTTCAGAACTTTTTGCTCATGTGATAGCTCCTTTCCATGAGGCCCCAAATATTTCGTGTGCTCGGCTTTATGAATTCTAATGAACATGCAAAAGATCTGGAAAAATGCAGTCCAGTATTTACATGTAATTTAAGTTCATGGTGCAACTGCTCCCATAACACTAGCTTAAACTTTCTCTTCTTGGTCATTTTTAATTTTCCAAGATAACTTGGCAAAGCTATTGCTGTTGACATAAAAAAGACAGGGCAGCAGGCTTACCTAGCAAAGCCAACGCCACGACTTGTACCACTGGAATCACGCAGTATCCTTGTAGAAATAACTTGTCCAAATGGTTTGAGCATATTTTCCAGTTCTTGCTCATCCATGGAGAGTGGCAAATTAGAAATGTACAGGTTGGTAGGATCTTGTTCCTGTTGCTAAAAGAGAAGAGTGTGTTGTTCATTAATTTCCAACAGAAGGTGAGATATTTATGTTAATACACCTATTTTTATTAGCTACTTTCATTGCTCAGGTCCTTTTAAAGTACAAAGTGAGACTATGGGAACTACAGAACATCAAAGTCACCTTGGACACTTGAAAACAGTGTCTGAAGCTTGGACAATCTGTACAGGCCAGACATGATCCCACCAAGCCCTTGTGAGCAGATCTGAAAATGGCACTACTGAGTTGGAGAGGATGCCCTCATGGAACCACAACTCTCAGTTGTTTGCAGTATTTCTAAAAATAACCGACCTCTCCTCCACTGTTATTTTTAGGAGTCCATTTCAGGCACACTATTGCGCAGGAAGCTATTACTGCTAATAATTCAATTTAGAGATATATGAAGGATTCTGGACCAAGTCATCTAGAGTCCAATGGGGACTCTGCCCAAATTCCCATCCTGTGCTCTATGGCGAAGTTCATACCACTTTTGAGTCATGATCACCAATAGTAAAAACAGAGCTAATTTAATGAAAACAAGAAATCACAAAGCCATATACAATAGTCAATTCTGGGTAGGACAAATTTTAGACTCTTGGAAAAGCTAAACTCAAGAGTAGATGGGGGAGGAAATACTTTGTTCAGAGGACATGGCATTGACTTGGGACCCGAGGATCAAACAGAAGTCAAGAGGCTTTCAAAAGGCTATCTAAAGGGTTTGATTTTGTCAGTCACTGCTGCTTCAAGTTTCCTACTTAAGCAGTGCTGAAAGCAAGGAGAATAATTACGTAAAAATGTTCTTGAAGTCTTGTGTTTTAACTTTAAAAAAGTCATGTACATTTTGCAATCTACTTCCTAAGTTTACTTTAATAGAGAAACAATGTTTTGGACCTAATACCAGTAAGCAACACTGATATTCCAGGAAGATAAGCCACGTTTATCTTGTTATGTCATGCAGTCATGAGCTGCATAATGACATTTCAGTTAATGGCAGATGGCATATATGATGGTGGTCCTGGAACAGAGATGAAAACTTCCTATCACCTGGTGGTATCTTGATGATCCTGACTCTGTGTAGCCCTGGCTAATGTGTGTGTTAGTATCTTAATTTTTTACAAAAAAAGTTTAGAAAGTAATAACACATTCTAAAATAGAAAAATGCTTATAAAGGTATAAAGAAAATATTTTTGTACAGCAGTTTTAAGCTAAGTATTAAAAAATCAAAAAGTTAAATTTAAAAGTTTATAAAGTAAAAAAATTAAAATAAGCCAGTTTATTAATGAAGAAAGACATTTAAAAAAATAAATTTAATGTAGTCTAAGTGTACAGTGTTTATAAAGTCTACAACAGTATAATGTCCTATGCCTTCCCATTCACTCATCACTCACTCACTGACTCACCCAGAACAACCTCCAGTCCTCTAAGCTCCAGTCATGGTAAGTGCCCTATAAGGTGCACCATTTTTAACTTTTATACCATACTTTTACTGTACCTTTTCTACATTTAGATACACAAATATTTATCATTATATTATAACTGCTGACAGTATTCAGTACGGTAAGAGGTTGTACAAGATAGTAGCCTAAGAGCAAGAGGCTATACCACATAGCCTGGGTGGATAGCAGGCTACACCATCTGGGTTTGTGTAAGTATACTCTATGATGTGCACATGATGATAAAATCACCTAAAAATGCATTCACCTAAAAAAGACTGTATGCCCATCATTAAGCAACACATGATTGTACTCTGGTAGGTGATGCGGAAACGGGAGGAAGGAGAAACTGCAGTTTGAAAGCTACATCTTGAAAAATAGGGAGGTTTCAGAGGCATGGAAGTAGGGGAATGATATGATTAAACCCATCTTAGATTTGATTTTAGGTTCTATCTTTTAATAAAGGTTGGGACCCCTTAATTGAAGGGCACTAAAACACCCTTTGGACAGTTATGTGGTATAAAAAATGTTACAGAAGAAACATGCATCAAAATATTGTGAGGCTAGGCACAATGGCCCATGCTTGTAAATCCCAGTATAAGCCAAGGTGGGAGGATCGCTTGGGACCAGGAGTTTAAGACCAGCCTAGGTAACACAGTGAGACCTCATCTCTTTAAAAAAAAAAAAAATTAACCAGGTGTAGTGGTGTACACTTGTAGTCCTAGTTATTTGGGAGGCTGAGGCAGGAGGGTTACTTGAGCCCAGGAGTTCAAGGTTGGAGTGAGTTGTGATCACACTACTGAACTCCAGCCTGGGTAATAGAGTAAGACTATTTCTCTCTCTCTCTCTCTCTCTCTCTCTCTCTCTACACACACACACACACACACACACACACACACACACACACACACACATACATATATACGTACACATATATATATGGAGTGAACTTTCTTTTAAAATTACAATTAGGAAAATCTAAATGTCATATTTAAGAATGTTCATAGGAAAATTTGTTATGTGTGAAGAATTTTTAGAAGGGGGTCGACAATGTAGATACTAAATCTGTTTTACTTGCTTCTGTTATTAAAATATTATTTAAAATATTACACATGCTTTAAATTCTTGATTCATCTTGAAAGTTTACTGATGAGGAAATAATATTAAAAAGTGCTAAAAATCAGAATCCAGAAAGAAACTGTCTTCTTAACCCACGTTTTGATATAGTGAAACGGAGCAGACTAACGCAGATAAATATTTCCTATGATGTTAATGCATTTGTTTTCAGTAGCGACAGCCCTGTCAGTTAAAAACCTAATTTCATTTGGGATGATCCTTAGGGCTAACGTTATTTACATTTCTTTTCAAATGGTCAACATATCTTGCAAACATTGCCCACAAGGTTGTAGTAACTAAAAAAAAAAAAAAAGAATGGGAAGAAACTCCAAGCTGGCAGCACATGCTACAAAATAACAAAGTGTCCATGAAATTCTTTTTTTTTTAAATCCCTTCTTCTCATGTTTTTTTTTTCTTTTTAAATTTTTACTTTCTTTTTAGTTTTTATTCGTGCATTCTTATAACCACACATTCACTGTGAACAGGACATAGAATACTTGCAATAATAGGTGGTGGCTCTTGAAATGAGGATACTTTAGTATGTTTAAAATAAGTGACAACCATAACTGGTTTATTATTTACAATGCTATGTCTGAAAAAAACAAACAAACAACACTTATTCTTTCAATTACAGGTGACCAAACACAAAAATGGTGTCAACGGGCCTCCTTTGTCCCTAGGCATGGAAGGGGTTCAAAGGCTTCCATTGACAAGTCTAGGGGAAATCGGGGAGGGGCAGCGGGGGGTGGGGAGTTGGGGAGAGATAGCATGGGGAGAAATGCCAGATATAGGTGATGGGGAGGAAGGCAGCAAGTCACACTGCCATGTGTGTACCTATGCAACAATCTTGCATGTTCTTCACATGTACCCTAAAACCTAAAATGCAATTAAAAAAAAAAAAAACAAATAGAAAACTAGATCCCACATTGGCCATGAGAGGGATAAACAGCTATCAAGGTTCACGTGAGAAGAAAAGCCAGGCTCAGGAGTCCTGCAAAGCATGAAGCACTCAGTTATCATTCAAAAGAAATTAACAAAACCTCCCCATGCATGTGGTACGGTTCCTAAAATGCAAGAACGAGGACTTGGCAGAAAGAGCAGACATCTGTCTTCTCTTGTACAGAATAGGTTCACCAACCAGCAGATAGCCACTCAGTGGAATGTGACTGCAAACTGCTCAGAGTATGGTGGAGTTCTGCATGGAGAGGGGGGATTATATTCCTGCTCGTTTGACTGCCTATTTATTGAAAAAAATGTGTAAACTTCCTAAAAGCCAAACAACATAAGAGGATTTGCTGACCCTCGTCAGGCCATAGGAGGGACTGAATGACCTACAGAAGTCACTTTGTTAATAGATATAAACAATGTCCATTCGATTTTTCTGTTTTTCTGTCTTTGTAGCTCATTATCTGCGTTTCTTTTCTTTTTATATAATCTGAGTCTTTTATCTGAAAGATGCACACATTTGTAACATTTGCCTAGTTTAACATAAACAGGTTTTCCAAAAGGCCCAAGGCCATTACTGTTGGTTAAGTTTCATCAGCGTACCTGATGGATACAATTTTTAACTGTTCCTTTCTTAATACTCAATAGCTGCCCAAATTTAGAAAAAAGTTATTTTCTCAATTAATTTAATCATCAATTAAACAAATACTTAAAACCTACCATATGGCAGGTACCAAGCAAAGCACTGAAAATTAAAACACGAATAAAAAAACAATCACCGGTCTCTAATGCTCAAAATTTGCAGTTTTGCAATTTAGTTTTAAATATTTGTGGTGTTCTTTTTCAACTCAGGTAGCCAGTATTTCAAACAATATTATATTTCTGCGCCTATCCCCTAAGTGATTGCCCTTATTTTTTTTTCTGATTATGTAAGGATGAAAGATTTTTTTCATCCTTATATAAGGATGATAGGGAGGGGACCCATCACTTTTCACTTTCCTCTAGTGAAAGGCATATGGCAATATGAGTTTTCAGCACATTATAGTATCCTGATTAGTTCACTAGAGGAAAGTAGAAAGTGATGGATTCCCTCCCTATCATCCAGGAGATGGACTAAAATTCCTTTTAAAAATCATCTCCCCACCGGGTGTGGTGGCTCGTGCTTATAATCCCAGCACTTTGGGAGGCCCAGGCAGGTGGTTTGCTTGACCTCATGAGTTTAAGATCAGTCTGGCAACATGGCAAAAGCTAGTCTCTGCAGAAAACACAAAAATTAGCCAGGTGTGGTGGTATGTGCCTGTAGTCCCAGCTACTCAGAAAGCTGAGGGTGGGAGGATCACTTAAACTTGGGAGGCAGAGGTTGCAGTGAGCCAAGATGACCCCACTGCACTCCAGCCCAGGTGACAGAGCTAGATCTTGTCTCAAAAAACAAAACAAAACAAAAAAACTGTGTCCCTGAAAGAATGTGTGTCAGGTGCTCCTTTATCCAGACAGCATTAAGGGGCTAAGTCAAGTCTAGATACTCAGACTCATGGTTCTATGGTATACAGAACAATAAACCCACTGACATTTAAAATATCTTTTGTAACTTTAATAATATAATAAAAAAGAAATCAGGTCTAGGAATTTCAAGTCATTCTACAGGGACCTAAAGAAATTCACAATATGCAGAATATTGGCACCTGGTCAGTACCTCTGAACCTGAGTACTTGTCCTCACCACAGATGATGGAGGAAGGGGTCCTTTTCCCTAGCCAATTTATAATACCAAGCTTCCTAAAGAGGTCTCTGAACAGTGCTCATTTTCAACCCGGGGGAAAGCTACTACTTGAAGAGCACTGTAGACATGACATACAGTGCCAATCCATACCCAATCCAGTTTTGAATAAATGCATTATAAATGCTTCTTCAAAACAGTGTGTATTTAATATTCTATGCTACTTAATATTACAGGCATTGGAAATGATGCCTAGGTAAGTGTTCAAGGGCCACTCTGAATGAAGCCTATACATTCTTTTTTTTTTTTAATTGCACTTTAGGTTTTGCTAAAATACAACTCTTTTTAATTCTGTTTCAGCAGAGACCACAAAACACTGAGTGTCAGGCTCCAATATTCCAGAGTAAGAAACTAGACCACCTAAAGATTGCCTACGAGGAGCTGGCTGAGAACTGGTTTGGGATACTTAAGTGACCACCCACCTCCTATCTGTGTCTAAGAAACTGAAGAGACTGAGAGTGAGCATTTATTGGGAGGAAAATGCTGAGGTGTTCCAAGTCTCAACAACTGAACCATTTTCCTCTTACTGTCAGTCAAGTAAGAGGGGTGACTACTCAGGGAGCTTAATCTGTGTCTCAAGAAGCTGAGTGGCTACAACAGATTGATGTCCAACTTAAAATCTAAGGAATCTTCAAGGAGAAAGGCTAAAGGGCCCACAAGTGAGACTGGGAAGTAACTCTCTCTTAGCGATGACTAGCAAAGGGACATCAGATGTGGGCCACACAGAGTTGGCCCAGGGTTGTGTTAGATCCTCTTAAGGAGGCTGCTTCGAGGAGCAAAGAAATCCCAGCAGAAAGGGGCTGAAGATGGTCAGATTATCAGGAGCTGAGCATGTGAACCTGAGGACATGTATTCTTTCACTTCAAGGAGCTTTAGGACAAAGATCAATTTGGAGGAGTTGGTTAAAGATCTCAGAAAACCAAAGCATTCCATGAGAGAAAGCATCAGCACGCTGCCTGGCTACAGGAATCAACATCAGATGACCTCTTTGTCAGGTCATCCTTTTCCAGCACACCAACCCTGGAGGGGTTAAACGAAGCCATGGCTAGTGAGCTGAAGGAAGAGTGGGAAAAACACAAATTTTGGAAATAGCATAGAAATTAGTCATGTGCTCATCTCACTATAAACTTGCTACTTGGCGCAGACCTAATCCAGGGAAGGGAGAAGCTTCAGCTGACAATTTACTACATGATACTCAAAATTTTTGCCAAATAAACAGTATTGGGGTATTAAACTATAAGCATCACACACTTAACATCATAATCTGTTCCTGAAAATGAGAAATTCAACATCGAAATGATAACCGAGAGCCTATTTCACTTTATGTTAAATAGGGGAAAATTATAATGTATTACACATCAGTCATAATCCTCAATCAAGTTTTCTAAAACGTAACTATTTTATTTTCCTATTTTTCTATAATTCCCTAAAATGCAACTAAATACAGTCATTACATCTGTCTCTGCGTGTGTGCGCACACATATAACAAATGGTTCTGTTGGGATGGAAACACGGCTTTCTGATCACCAAATAATCAATACGGTTGTCAGCCAACAATTGCTTCTTAGGCTATGATCTCTCTCTCTCAGCACCAACAATATCCAAGGCACACATCCCTTATATTGACTCTCAGCAGTTTTAAAAACATTTACACATGAGTCTGACATTCTACAAACTGTATTTGCTAAGCAACTTGAGAGTCTTCACATATGTCTTGTTGAAAGTATTGTACTGAGGTTGGACAATGTAAACATAGACAGAAATGACTGAAAATGTATTGAAACATACGTATGCTTTATGGAGTTTGGCTATGAAAAATTGAGGCATTCTACTGAAAACAGAACAAAAAAAATCAAGCAGAAACACTTGAAACGAAAGAAGCTGGGGGAACTTCATGAAATAATGACAGTGGCTGGAGAAGTCGTGAGACTTGCCCAGGATTTTATCCAAAAGCAAGGAGCTTTATTATTAATAGAATGGGCAGTGGAGGAAAGATTTATGAGTGTTCCCTAAGAGTCTTCCTTATACAGTGCCTGGATACCCATTGTTTACAGAACCAGATTAAATATTCTGCAAATCATTATGCAACGCAGGTATCATATAGTCACAATAAACATATTTAAAACCTCATAATCACCATCTTTCAATAATGCCACAGGGAAGCGCCAAATGATGGACAAATAATCTGAAAATCTTGGTGCTCAATATTTACTGAGGCCAGGTGCAGTGGCTCACGCCTGTAATCCCAGCACTTTAGGAGGCCGAGGCAGTTGGAACATTTGAGGCCAGGAGTTCGAGACCAGCCTGACCAATATGGCGAAACCCTGTCTTTACTAAAAATACAAAAATTATCAGGGTGTGGTGGCAGGTGCCTGAAGTCTCAGCTATTTGGGAGGCTGAGGCAGGAGAATTGCTTGAACCTGGTGGGAGGAGGTTGCAATGAGCCAAGATTGTGCCACTGCACTCCAGCCTGGGTGACAGAGCAAGACTCTGTCTCAAAAAAAAAAAAAAAAAAAAAAGAAAAAAAAAATGTGTGACACACACACACACACACACACATACACACATACACACATATGGTTTCTGTTTATTTACACACACATATAGTTTCTGTTTATTTTAACTTCTTACTTTGGAGTTTAAGAAAATCTAAAGTAAGTCAACCCAATGTAAAGTTTTAAAAATACTAAATGGCAATGTCTACTTCTGTGCTACCATTCAGAGGCAGAAGACAGTATAAAATTACTTTCCTCTTTACTTCAAGAAGCCAGATAATATAAAAGAGTTGCTCTTTTAAAAAGAATACTCAAAAGATCAAACTGCTGAGTTTCAGGCTTGAAAATATTTTCTGTAGCAACTGAAGGACTCAGATTTTCATTACGTAACAGATGTCTTAATAACTGCACTGCAGGAAGTAGGCATTAGGATGTAACCCAAACTTATATTTGGATAATAAAGTCTGGGACATAAATATCAGTTTATTCAACAGAGACTCCTAAATGTGTTTGGTGGATAATGGAACTTATATTATAGAATATAAACACTTAAGAGATGCATGCCATTCCAAGGATGACTCTCCTCTTTGAGCCTTGGCTCTACTTAATAAAAACGCCATGCCCATTTGAAAGTGTGGTTGGGGGTGGATGCACCAGACAATCTAAGGTCCCTCTAGCTTTAGAATTATGAATGCACCTGAACTAGGGATTCAGATCATGTAAAGCCAACTTCTGCAAGGCCATCAAGTCTATCTAAGGCATCATTACTTTTGGAAGAGGGTCTGAGCATCTTTAACTTTCAGGACAAACCTAATACAAAGAGAAAGACACAATGACTGGCTGGTCAACTCCATTTACATTCAGAAACTGTGATATTCTAAGTCAAAACTGTTGAGGGAAACTACCATAACATGAAAGTTTTCAAGGAAAATGTATCTTATCATAACTAACATCCATGTGTGCTGTGCTAAAATACATATTAAGCATGAAACACGGTCTCCCATTTTATAATTCCCTAACATTCAGGCATATTCCTCACCTGAAGACATTTTCAACAATATTGGTCATCTAAAATATGCTAAAAGTTCATCAGAAACAAGTCTTGAATAAAGGCATTATAAAACTACTGAAAAGTAGATTTATATCTCATCAATAATCAATATCTAAAAATGTCTCAGTACTGTAAAAAAAATTAGCATCTGTAACTTACATTTGCATTAAAACTACTTGTTTTAATAGTTGTATAATCTGCCACTTATATGTATTTTTGAAATGGAACATGCTATACACAATTATCTTTTGAAACATGACTAGAAGTGTATACATTTCTTAAGCATTGACATTTAATTTTTTTTTTAAACAGGACAGATCTTAAACACTTACAAGTACCTGATTTTCTAAGAAAATCTGCTATTTCTCAATTTACTTATGGGGTTACATAATTTACTATGTAAATTTTATATATTTACAAATCCTCCTTCATAGGTTATGAGGAACAGTCCTCTGCACAATAGTGACTATGGCAGCTGCAGAGGCATAGGACAGGTGTCCAGAAGGAGCTGTGCTGAGTGGGATGAAGGAGAGAATAAGGATGCGACAGAAAAAGCAGACCTGTCGGGCTTCACAACCAAAGCTGTGGAAGAGAGAAGCCATTGCCGGCTCTCAACTCACCTTTGCCATTTGAGCTTGAACCCCACTGGCCTTCAGGGCAGACACAGCTTTTTGAGCTGCTGCAGGGCTGTCAAAATCCACAAAACCGTAACCTGAAATGCAAAACACACTTAGTATTTAAGCTATTATTCTGTGGTTAGGTAAAGGGTAAATGAACGGCTCTGCTTTTTTCTGGTGCAGGCAAGAGAGATGAAAATGTCCTGAGGGAGCTCAGGCGTTAGCAGCTGCAGGGCAGTGGCCTCCTGGGCTCTTCTTCCCTGTCATCTATCACCAGCCAGACAAGCCTCCCTTCAGAGGGAGTCAGGGCTAAAGAATCAGCGTTTCCCTATTCAAGATCATAGATATCCTGTAGTTACTGGGGGAAAAAAAATGACATCTAAGTTGCCAACCAAGGTTAAAAAAAAAGAAATTAAAAAAAAAAAAAAGAAAAAAAAAATCAACTTCAGAGAAACAGCATTTTAATGATTCAGTAAGAAACATGGAGCCATCCTACAAAGTTTACAAATGACAGAAACAAAAACTATGCTTATTTGGTAAACTTGTATTTTTAAAAATTAGAATAAGTACAACTATTAGACACTGCAAATATAATCTATGAAAATTAGAGTAAGTACAACTATTAGACACCCCAAACATAAAATAATCCAAGTTTTAGTACTTGGTTAAAGACAACATACTTATTTTCTTAAAATACAGCTCATCACACCCTTTCAAAATAAATAAGAGCTAGGAAAAATGCCTCAAGACGCCAAAATACATTTAGGCAGTTCATATTCTTAAAGTTTAAACACAAAACATAACAAAACAAACACATAACCTCCTAGAGATACTCTGGTTCAAAGTTTCTTTATCCATAGCTTTATAAACATTTTTAATGTGCTGGTCACCTGTCTTCATAAGTATATGAATGGCGTCTAGCAGAGAAAACTACTAACAAGCAATAAAAGAGAAAAACTAGGAAAGGAATAGGACTTACACAGCACAAGCTTCATGAATCTCAACAGATCCTAGGAGTATCACTGGATCAAAATAGAGAATCACAGACTTTTCTCTATGATAATTGTTAAGTTACTGAGAAAAGGGTCAAGTTATATTTAGTACACTAAAGAAACAGGGTACCAGGCAAAATACCAGGACCTTTCTTGGAACTCTAACTTTAAATGAGTAAGAATATTTTGGAAAAAAAAAAAAAAGTAACATTGCAAAGTTGTTTAGAAGAGGAGCCAGCCCTGTCGTTTACTTACAGAAATATTATAAAGCAGTAATAATTTATATAGTATGATCTAGTGTCAAAATCAACATCAATAAAGTCAAACAGAAAGCTCAGAAACAAAACAAAGTCAGTTTTGCAGTATTAGTACCAAAAATATTGCCTGGTAACGAAATAAGTTATAATGAAATGGAGCAGACTACTGACTACAGGAATAGATGTTTCAGGAGAGATGAGTGCTAACGCTGAAACAAGCAGCAGCTTCCTTGTATTACTTGGAATTGGCTTGAAATAAGGCTTAATTCGATTTAGACAGTAGAGAAAAAGCCAGTTCGGAGAGCAAAAGGAAGAGGTTGATCTACGTAAAACAGAGAATGCTACTCAACTGCCATGTTAACAATTAGGTTAAACATATCTTGGATGTTTTTTTTAAGACATCTGTTGTCCATGCTAACATGCAACAACGCTCTGTGGATACACACACACGCACATACATGCACATACTCTCTCATATACAGTTTCGGTGGGTCATAAATGAGCACCCAGCTACAATGAAAAAGATACAGCTTTTACTGATGGATATTTAAGATTTTTCCTTCAATGTTGCTATTGTCAAATTACAATAAACAGATCTCAATTTTGATGTTATTGTATTTGAAGTTACTATCTACTCAGGTAATATGAGCATTCTTTTATCTATTATTTTCTTATAGAGAAATCCATAATGCTTGTATTTTACTTAACTGTTCACATCCTTTTCTGGCCTTTTTCAATGCCTACTACACTAGGGCTGTTTTTATAACCATTTGCTGAAGACAAACATAATAGTTAAGTATGAAACCTTGTGCTCCTTCATGTTTTCTATCTGTATTACTTTCAAGTAAATAGAAGACTATATAAAATTTGAGTTATGCAGGCTCTATGGATTTGATTATATAAATAGATGTAAAGATGTTTTTGAAGGCAGGGTTCACTAAGTAACATGGCGCCCTCTCACTGAGGCTTCCAGGAGAATTCCTCTCAGGTTTCAGGACCAGGAATAGTTATGTTACTCTTGCTCCCTGTATTTTTCTCTCACATTGTGATGACTGAATCATGGGAAGAGCTATGTGTTTTATTTTTGCCTTGGCCACTAGGAAACACAGGGCCCGATTTGGTAATAACTTAAAGCTGCCCACTTTCAGCCTTATTTTTCCTGTTGGTCTAATTCATACTGAAACTATTTTTGCTCATGTGTGTTAAGTGTTCTGGTCTTATATGCACTTCTGTAAGTGTAAATAATTAATCAATCAATTTCATAACCAATCTTCTGTGAGCTTTTTTTTTTTTGTCCTGAACTGCCACATTTACCAGTACTGGACAGTCTATAAATGCCTTTTGTTGGCTAAACTTTGATTAAAAATTAAAATGTAAAACAGCAACTGAATTGTGAATTTTAAAATTTAACAACTTAGGAAAATGTTATTCTGTCTAATGTTTCCTTTAGATAAATTCTCTTGAGAATACAGGTTCCGAAAATACGTTTTGTGGCAAAAGATGTTCTATAACCCTGTAAGATTTCTCATTCCCATATATGAGGTTCTTTGATTTGTTTAATTTCAAAAAATTAGTATATAACACAAGTAGCTTTAATTTATATTAATATTCTATAATGTTTTATGCATTTATTTATATTCATTTATCAATCATCTTTATGCCTACCTATCTACCTATCACATCAAGTTATCTTGGGTAACATGTTATCTAACTTTATTATGAGCTAAGTTAAGTGTTATTTCTTCTCATTTGTCCTGAAGTTACTTTTTTCTCGCTTCTAGGATTTTATAAACCCACTCTTACCCTCTCCACTCACTCACTCACCCACCCTCTCAACCCACCAGATATCTGTTGACACCTATTGCTGGGAGGCTCGTGTGAGGCAGAGAGCCCTGGGAGGTTTCTATTACTGCCCACACACCCAAAAGCAGTGTCTCCTAAGAACTACTTTAAAGGAAGGTCTCCAGGAGACTTCTTGTATCTAACATCAGGTCTGAATTAGTCCTACCCTTAGTTAGAAGTCCATACATTTCTCCTCTGTGGACCCTTAACAACTGTTAAGGGTTTGCATTATGACAACATGTTAGATTTAGCATTAGTTTATTTTTACCCATATCTTTTCTAGATCATGTAGAGCACTTGGAGGAATTTTGGCTTCTATGGAATAGGTTGCTTTTGGAGCAGAGTATAAAATAGTGTGGTTTTCAATTCAGGGGTGTGGTGAAGAATTTAACTTCTGGGTCCTTTCTTTTACTTCATTAGGGCAACTCTGCTTTTTAACACACTGAGCCGACATGTAAGATTTATTTTGGGGTGGGGAAGGAAAAGAGGGGAGGTTGGATATGGCTAAAACCACTTGGCTACTCTGATTTCTCTCTTGTTTGAAAGTAATGTTGGTGATCAGCTTCCTGTTTTTATGCCTGCAAGAGTCTATTTTTCTTTATAAAACCAAAAGATTGTTTTCCTGTGTCTCAGCTCTCCCAAATCATTTATAAATGCTAAATAAGACTAATCTTGGAAACTAAGTATATGCATGTCAGTCTACAATTTGACTCTCTCTAGTTTAATTCATTTAAAATATTTATTGGGTACCACTCTATATAAAGCACCCTCTATTCACTGTCCCAAGGCAAAACTGCCTTAATGTGCCATGTTGATAAAACATGGGCTTAGCTATTTGCCACAATAGCTCCTTTACATTTAGACACTTTGAAGAAGAGACAGAAATACAATGAACCACTTCAAGTTTAGATTAAAGGAAATGCTTGACTTATAAGGAGAGGTCCTACCATAGGGTTCATTTATGTTCTCTGCCTTTTTCAGATTGTGCTAAGCCACTGCCCCGTCACTACTACTTGAAAAACTGGGGTCTAATTAATGAGGAGATTTGCCTTCTCTGTCTATTCCTGTCAACTTATTTCAATTCAAGGGGTCAGTAGTTAGATTCAAAGTCAGCTGACTCTATTCTTCCCTTTTCCTAGAAATCACATGCCTATTGTTAAGATGCTGGATCATTAAAAATCAGAAACACAGAGCATCAGGGCTGCCTACTGTAGACGCCTCCTCTTCCAGCTCATGGGGCTGGATGAGCTCATCCTAATTACATGGAAAACTGAAGGTCAGTGCATCAAATTAATGCAGCAGCATATTTCAAAGGGGTGCGTGACCTCCCTTCCCTATTACAATTTGGTCAGTGAAAATGGTTCTCTCCTCCCCGCTGCCAATATTGTCAACAGGCATTCAGCAGAGAACAATTGGGAGTATTGAAACATGTAATTAAGTACTGCTTAAAACTACTCTATTCTAATTAATAGAGCCAATTTGCACAATATGTAATCTTTTCAGTTCTTTAGTACAGTCCAATGGTTTTCAGTAAGCAGCTCTAATCTCCTCAGGCTCAGGAAAGAAAAGCTATTTTCTAACTCTACTCCCCTTTAAAAAGCAAGGGCTAAATGCCAACCAGTATTTTGCATGTTAACTCTACTGGCGTCAAATCTGGAATTCTGGCAAACTGCTAGCTGCTGTTGGGTTTCTAGCCAAAACCTAACCAGGGACAAACGTAAGCAATATGCTGACACTGTGCAAGACAGAAACTGGGTGATATATAAGATCTAGTTGCTAAGAAAATGGAGGTGGTTTTGAAACCAAAGATCAGGTTTTAAATTCCATCATTTTTCTAAAGCTATCATTTACCAAATAACCAGCCAAGAAAACATACCTTTGCATTTGTTCGTTGTCTTATCCAATATTGCCTTTGTGGAGACTATTTTCCCATATCTGGAAAACAGAAAAGAGAAAGAAGTTATAAGGAACCCTTATTAATGCCTAAATCCAAAGAACACACATCCTTTTCAAACATCTGCAAACTTTAAAGTACAAAATGTTCTTTACTAAGAGACAGGAAATGAGAATTCTAAACTCAAAACTAAAAAAAAAGGAATGGCTAGGACTCTCATTTGAATTGTGAGATTCCAGTTTGAAGTTCAACTTTGAAGAATCAGGTAGGGAAGAAATATGGGACGTGAGCTGTATACAAAATATTTTCTTCTAATAACAGTATGTCTGTGGTAAAATACAATGCCAAATGCAAGGCTATAGAATTCTAACAGGAAAGTACCATGCTATGATCTACAGGGCTTTTATGAAATAGTAACGGTAAAGCTGCTTGCATTATTCTGTTCATTCTGGTTCTGTGGACAGCACTGCGAGGCTCCATACTGCCACAGAAGGGTGAATGTGCATGCACGTTTATGTGTAACACACCTAATGGTATCAAACAGATCCTTTTTACTGAAGACTTTTATAACTGTTCATAAAAACACTTATTTACACCACTTCTAACTCAGTAATAATTATACAGTATACTCACTAACTTGTGTGCATGCACATGTGTCTAAGAAATGGACAATCAAGAATATAATGAAGGATATAAGAATTAATCAGGGATTAATCATTAATTTATGAGGTTTCTATGAGAAATATGTTCAAATTCCTTTATGTGCCACAGATGCTGGATAATATAGGAAAAACAAAGAACATTACAATTTAGCACACTGCTACTGAAAATGAAGTGACGGTGTAATGTAAGTATGAACCAAACCTACCTTCTCTCCACAGTGACTATATCAGAAGGAAAAGCACTGTTATCTATGCTTGCCTTCTACAACTTGAGGGCAAAAAATTTTGAAAGATAACTTTTAAAAATTTTTCTTAAAAATCAAAATAAGGACGGATACAGTGGCTCACGCCTGTAATTCCAAAACTTTAGGAGGCGGAGGTGGGTGGATCAGCTGTGGCCAGGAGTTTGAGACCAGCCTGGACAACATGGCGAAACCCCATCTATACTAAAAATAGAAAAATTAGGTGGGTGTGGTGGTGCATTCCTGTAGTACCATCTACTTAGGAGGCTGAGACAGGAGAATCGCATTAACCCAGGAGGCGGAGGTTGCAGTGAGCCAAGATCGCACCACGGCACTCCAGCCTGGGCAACAGAGCAAGACTTTACCTCAAAAACAAAACAAACAAAACAAATCAAAGTAAGACTCTGGGAAATGCGCAAAACTTACCTGACACATCTGCATCTCACATTTCCTCATTTACAGTCTAGATATTAACTTCCTAGATATTAACTTCAAAATTTCCACATGTGCTCTACTTTAACTTTCTCATGATTGATTTTGAGGACTAAAATGCGTATTAAAAACTTTAAGAAATGCAAGTATTTTGTAGCATTTTAAGCCATTGTGAATATTATAGACTTGTATTTTATGCATTGAAACAAGCTGAAATATATTTATCTAGAAGAAAAAAAAAAGCTTGAGCCACTTTTCTCCTTCAGTTACTCTTTCCTATGTTCACTCTGGGTAATCATGTAATCAAATGATTACTAACTAGGCATGAAAGTAAAGATAATTTCAGGTTCAAATGACAATTACATCTAAGAGGCACAATGCTGTACAAACACCTTCAATTCCCTGTTGAGATTCTCAGCATTTATAACAATCATTTCAAACAGATCACTAAGCTTACAAAGAAATAATCTGTAAAAATCTACAAATGAGAAAAAGTAACTGATTTAAAGGCAACCTTTTAGCAACCATCTATCTACCTAGGTTACATGCTTGATATCTACCAGCTCCTACTGTATGGGTATTTCACCCATCCAAATCTCATGTGGGAATATGATTCACAGCTGAGCATGGCGGTTCATGCCTCTAATCCCAGCACTTTGGAAGGCTGAGACCAGTGGATGGCTTGAGCCCGAGAATTTGAGGCCAGTCTGGCCAACATGGCAAACCCTGTCTCTACCCTCCCAAAGCACAAAAATTGACTGGCATGGTCGTGTGGGGCCTGTAGTTTCAACTCCTTAGGAGGCTGAGGTGAGAGGGTCACTTTAGCCTGGGAGGCAGAGGTTGCAGTGAGTCGTGATCCTGTCATTGCACTCCTGCCTAGGTGACAGAGTAAGACCATGTCTCAAACAAAACAAAACAAAAATCTCCAGTGTTGGAGATGCAGCTTAATGGGAGGTGTCTGGGTGATGAGGGTGGATCCCTCATGAATGGCTTGGTGACATCCTCGTGGTAGTGAGTAAGTTCTTGCTCTATTATTTCTGGTGACAGCTGGTTGTGCAAAAAGCCTGGCACCTCCCTCCAGGACTCTTGTTTTCTCTGTCTCCACATGATCTCTGCACACACCTTCTCCCTTTGCCTTCTGCCAGGAGTGGAAGCCTCCTGAGGCCCTCACAAGCAGCAGCTGCTGGTGCTATGCTTCTTGTACAACCTGGTAAATCACGAACCAAATAAACCTTTTCTCTTTATAAATTACCCAACTTCAAGTATTCCTTCATAGGAACACAAAAATGGATGAAGACACCAGGACTCTCGTTTGCACAAGTCCTTGATGAAAGCACTTTTAGATTGTATCCCTGCTTCATACTTTTCCAAATGCAGGGGAGATGGTAGGTATGATTCCAATTTGGGGTAAGGAGATTGAGTCAGAGAGATTAAGAGGCTGCTAGAGCTCTCAGAGTTCAGGGCTTTTTGTACACCAAACAGAAGAAAGGCTATTTCGGAGAAGGAAGGTAAAGGGCTGGCTTTCGACACTTCTAGTTCTGCTTTCAACATTTAACGACGGGAAAGACAGGAAAAGGCATGGAGAAAGGGACAGGAGGAAGTAGGCCAAGAGAAAAGGCTCAGTAGTGCTGAAATGCAAGCCACGCCACACCCTCTCTTGGCCTCTTTGCTATGTCTGGCGTGAGCCCTCTGTGCCAGTGCTCCTCCCTTCTCTGTGGCAGGTACTCTCCATCTCATTCCAACTTTCGTAGCCCTCTTTCAGGAGTTCTTCACCCATTCAGCTTCCTCTTATTCCTCCTTAACTGAGTACTTTCATTAAGCTTAATACTTGGTCTTCAACTGTTCTTAGGAGATTCCTGAATCCAGGAGATCAATAACTCTTCTGAGTTTTGTCTTTGATATGTTTCCAATATTCACTTTCCCCCTTCATTGTTCCTAGACACATGTGAAAAGCACATAATGGCTCTCCCTGCATCCAGCCTTCCAACCCTGTCTGTTGCATTAATTTACCTTAAATACCACTTTAATACATCTCTCCATTACACCATTCTACCCATGCTTGAACTTGAAGGACCTGTTCAAACATTATGTTTTCCATGAAACTATCCCTAATCTCCTCAACTGTTTAGTTGGCTATTTTCTAAGAAACCAGAAAGGGGGTTACATTTGTCGAGCTCCTACTTACGTCCTAGGCACTGTGCCAGGTACTTTACATGTATGATCTTATTTAATCAACTTCACAACAATCTTATGAGGTAGGTGTTATTATTCCCATTTGTGCATATGAGAAAACAAAAAGTTCAAAGAAGCTTTGAGCATTACACCTTGCCTGAAATCCCGGAGCTCACAAAGGAATAAACATTCACTGCAACTTATCAATGAAATGATTTTGAGGAACAGTGTTTCATTTATGCACTCTGAGTATGGAAGTTGAAGGCTAATGGAAGGTCTCTATGGTATTGAAATATTCATTTTTCAAGCACAGGCAATTTTTTACTTGTTTGTTTTAAACTTAAGAAATTGACATGTGCCTTATAGTTGAAAGAGGGATAATAAGACAGAGGATGGTGGACAGAAAAAGAGTGATTTCTGACATTTATCACTTTTACTTTCTATTGTGGTTTTCCTTGCAATTTGTAGGGTAAGACTTAAAGACTGTGATTTCACAGAACATCAGAAAACAGATCCCACTCATCTGTGAGGCAGCTGTGTACTGGCCTCCTGCAAACAAGTGGCACAAGGAGCTGCTCATTTGGAGTTACCTATGGTGATGAAGGGCTTCCATCTCCTAAAATATTCTTCTTTTGGGCTGTCTGCTCAGTTATGCCACTCACAGCACAAGAGGCTGCCATTAAAATACAGACCCCAGTACTGGAAACTGCAACCCTTGAAATTGGTCAGGCCCTAGCTAAGTTAGCTCCCTAGTGGGTGACTTGAACACCTTATTGTGGTAATGGAGTAACAACCAGTAGTTTTGATGGCATGAGGAAAGGTCCAGATCTAGAATATGAGGAGGAGCCATATTTCAAATGGTACCTCAGGGACTGGGATAAGGGGTGGCAGGGTTCAGGGCAGTCACCATCTCTACTCATTTTGCTTGCAGTAAAATTTAAAATGGGGGTTGGGAAAGGGGGAGCTGTTACAGATGGTTAATATTTAGTCTAATTCTGTTGTCAATCACCAATGCCCGCAAGAGTAAGAAACAACTGGGTACAAATTCATAAAGCAACCAGATCTTCACCTCTCCTTGGTCATATCTTAATTTTTTTTTTTTTTTAATCATTGGCCAGGCAGGGTGGTGCACGCCTGTAATCCTAGCACTTTGGGAGGCTGAGGTGGGCAGATCGCTTGAGCTCAGGAGTTCAAGGCCAGCCTGGGCAAGGTGGCAAAACCCCATCTCTGCAAACAATACAAAAATTAGCTGGGCGTGGCGGTGCATACTTGTAGTCCCACCTTCTTTGGAGGCTGAGGTGGGAGGGTCACTTGGGCCTGGAAGGCGGAGGTTGTAGTGAGTCAGGATTATGTCACTGCACTCCAGCCTGGGTGATAGAGTGAGACCCCCCATATCAAAAAAAGAAAAAGTCGCCATTAAGGAATAGAGACATATGGCATACTGAGAGAAACAGGCCTCCTGACTGGCAGAATTCACACTCTAAGGACACCAAGAAAGTGCATGACCAAACAGCATGGTGTAGAATTTTATGG